AAGTTCCCGCGCTCGCCCGCCCCGGTTAAGTTGGTGCCGGTGCCGCGGCCCGGCCGGGGGGCAGAGCCCTGGCTCTCCTGCAAGGAAGCAGGGGCGGTTGCCCCCGCTGATTTCTGGCATCCAGGCACATCTTTCACGCCCTAAACCCTTTAGCCGTCTGAGGGATTTGTTTTCTGACAGAATCGGCGGCATTACACAGAGCTGCTGCCTTTTCTTTTCTCTTTTTTTACCTCCCCCCTTAGTCAGGGCCGGCTGGAAACCTGATCGTGACTTCTCAGTGAAGTGCCAGCCCCCAATTCCCACTTCCACGCCTAATCACAAGGAAGGAAGGCAGGCAGAAGGGCCAAGGCAGAAAGCTCTGGGTGTCCAGGGCACCCCCCCCCCAATCCAGTGCAATCTGCTAATCCTAGCAGGAGAATCGCCCTTCTTGCATCTTGAGCTAGATGTCAGAGAAAACAGATGAGAAAGGACAGGTTGTTGTTCTGTGGGTCATGATTTAAAAAAAAATAGATTTCCTGCTTCCTTGCAGTGTTTTCATAAAATGTGGAGGAGAACAGAAGATCAAAATATTGTTGGGTTTTTTTCCCCCTCTAAAGGTATAACATACCAAGATGTTAAATGCATATCTTTCTTCTAGTCATGGCTAGGAGTTAAAACCCACGTAGATCTTGATATGCAACCTAAATTTGGCATCAGGAAATGGGAAATTGCATCTTTAAGCAGAGTACAATCAAAAATGAATTACAATAAATCCTATATAATTGCATAGGTCATTCTCTTTAATGAGATTTTATTAACCTGACTGTCAAGCTTTTGAGTCAGGCAGATATTTTATCTTCTTCAACTGATAAAAGTGTCAGCTATAAACCACCATATAAATATTCATAAATCTACACATCTGTGGCAGCCTATCAGCATCATTCTTTTGGACATTAAAAGCATTCTAATTACTTTCTGTCTAGCAGAGCTGAAATGCTGCCTGTTATAGTATGTGCTTGGCAGGCATGATTGCTTTTGTTTGCCATCACAAATAGCAGCATCCTATTTTATATATTGATGGTCCAGAAAATATTCAGGGTTTGACTGAACAGGATGAATATTAGAAAGCACCATCTGGTTTTGATAACATCGGGTATATTAACTCATCTGTTAATTTTTGACACATCATTGATTTATTTATTTAGAAAAATTGTATCCTGTTTTGGTATGTTGCTGTTTGCCTTTGTAACAAATGTGATGACATTTCTTTACTAAACAGGGAAATGTGCAAGTTAATAGAATATATTTCAATGTTTTAATGCACATTTTTTCCCTAATTCATCTAGTATGCTGCTACTTCCGTCATCTCTCTCCAAATAACTGCAGCATGTTACAAAAAAGGGCTTAATTTTCTGTTTCATATATGGGCTTCTACTACACATTCACTGCTTTTTATGATGAACCCTGTGATCCCTGGCATTAAATCATACTTTCTTTTTCTGAAACTGTCTTTAATTTTTAAATAATTGAACAGTATTTTAACATCTTGGGAAACACGGTAAACATGGGGTCCAGGAGTTCTTTACAGAAGTGGGTTACTCTTACTAGACAGTTAAATATCTTCTAAAATAATATCTGTGGCCTTATTTTTACCACAAATCCCCCTAGGCAGGAGTCCTAAGCTTTGATAAGTTAGAGTTTGGACTTCCTTGTGTTTCTGAATCATACTGGTAGTTAGGGATCTGCTTCCAGGATTTGCCATAGACTTAACTCATTTTTTTATATGGAGCTAAGAGAAAGTTGGCTGCGCGGTTAAGTGCTCTTGAGCTCTTGCATCATCATCACTTATGTACCTGCCCTACGCTTTTCATTGTACAGCTAAGTTTACCCCACAGGCAAGCCAGACACGCCCTCCCCTAGTTGCATGCTTTATGAACTAAGAAGAAAGAACCCTGCATAATACACCTGTGCAGAGAGAAAATGCTGTTTATCATAGGTACTAGAATGTGACAGATACTGCAGATACAGTCACTTAGAGGCCTGTGCTTGTGACTTCATGATCCTGAATCCTAAATTTCATTTAAAAAGAAGGGGAAAAAACTATGTTCTTGTGGCTATGAAGAAAATCTTAAAACACAAACTGAGTATAACTAATTCTGTGATTTCAGCCATGGTCTGAAGATAGCCTAAAACAATAGCTCTTAATGGTGTAAGTTGCTCTATATCTTTCTGTGTAGTTTTTACTCCTAAATCTACTTCTCTGGAGTGTGACTTGGAGTATCAATGCCGTTCCAGAAAAGGACTGTATGTAGTAGCCACATCTAGACTTGGAAAAAGGTTGTTCTCAAAGTGAGGGTATGTGAGGTACATATCTTTTCTGGTATAGATGTGACTTCTGTGTTAGAAGAGTGTCATTGGCCTGACTGATGCTCTGGCTGCTAGATAAGTACTGGGAAGACCTGCTTGTCCCAGGAGTAGGGATTCTACTGTCATTTCTCCTGTTTCTGAAGAAAGGGAAGCCCTACTACTGCTCCTAGGGAGAAAGAATGTCCCCTTCTTACCAACCCTGCCTGAAGACAAAAGAGAGGTTCCCTGTGTCATTATGGAGATAAGGGTCACGGTGCATCTAGCATTCCAGAGTGCCGAATCCAGTCATAATTAGAATTCTGTTAAGTTCCCAACAGTGTTCGTGGAACTCTCAAAGGCATTTCCCCTTGTCTACATGTATTTCTGCACCATATTTCAACATTCCTCCTACCCATCCATCTTCATTGTTCAAAAAACATTAATTTTAATTGCTTTCTGATGAGGAAGGGGTTTTCTTTTGTTTACAGATGACATCAAGCTGAGGGGAGTAGTAGATAGGTTGGAGGGTAGGGCTAGGATTGAGAGTAACCTAGACAAATTTGAGGACTAGGCCAAAAGAAATCTCATGAGGTTCAACAAGGACAAGTGCAAAAACCTGCACTTAAAACGGAACAATCCCATGCACCAGTACAGGCTGGGGGCTGACTGGTTGGGCAGCAGCTCTGCAGAAAAGTACCTGGGGGTTATAGTGGACAATAAGCTGAGCCAACAGTGTGCCCGTTACCGAAGGAAGCTAATGGCATACTGGGCTGCATTGGTTGGTGTGTTGCTAGTAGGTAAAAGGAAGTAATTATTCCCCTCTGTTCAGCACTAGTGAGGCCACATCTAGAGTACTGTGTTCAGTTTTGGGCCCCCTACTACAGAAAGGATGTGGACAAATTGGAGAGAGTCCAGCAGAGGGCGACAAAAATGGTGAGGAGGCTGGGGGCCATAACAACGACTGAGGGCAATGGTGATGCATACAGGGTGCATGTGCACCCCCTGACACGCAGCACTCCCCACTTAGGCGACAGGTGGGGGGTCTGGTGCCTCACCCACGAGCACCAGCTGGGGGGTGGGGGAGCCAGCCGAAGCACTGCTGGCACTTCCAAGAGTGCAGCTTGTGCTTCCTAGTCACCAAGATCGGCCACGGTGGGACTTCCCTGCCCCGGTCGCTGACCAGCCACTGGGGGGCATGTGCCCCCCTGACTCAGGTGGCACCAGTCACCTATGACTGAGGAAATGGGGCTTATTTAGCTAAAAGAAGAGGAGACTGAGAAGGGACTTAATAGCAGCCTTCAACTACCCAAAGTGGGGTTTGAAAAAGGATGGAGATAGACTGGTCCCAGTGGTGGCAGATGACAGAACAAGGAGCAACGGTCTCAAGTTGCAGCAAGGGACATTAAGGTTAGATATTAGGAAGACTTTTCTTACTACAAGGGTAATAAAACACTGGAACAGGTTACTCGGAGAGGTGGTAGAAGCTCTATCCTTGGAGGCTTTCAAAACCTGGTTAGACAAAGCTTTGGCTAAAATAATCTAGTTGGAGATGGTCATGCTTTGAGCAGGGGGAGGGACTAGATGACCTCCTGATGTCCCTGCCAGTCCTAACTTTTTATGGTTCTTCACACAGTGCCTGAAGAGGTTTTCCTCCGAAATTTTGAAAAAAGTTACTCGTGGGGAGAGAACTCACAAAAGCAGTTCCATTCTGCTGGGTGAAAGTTTCACAAAGCTATGAAGGACTGGAACCAGGAGGTTGTACGAAAAAGCACTCAGATACTGTTTTAATTACGGAACAGGGGGGTTTGTTCCCATTATCAAACACGGGATATGACTCAGTTTCCCCAGTGAAAGGAATCATCTTCTGGTGTTCCACTCAGGTTGTTTCCAGAGGTAAAAAAATGTATATTAATAATCCTCAGATATACGTACATTAACAAACAGCATAAGAGGTCACAGAAGAAAGTTGCATTACTCCCTTATTCCAGTAAAAGCCCAAGTGAGTAGATAGGTTTTACAGTTGACAACAGAGGAAGTGAAACAAACAGTAGTGTGACTGGGGCATCAACCGTAGGCACTGACTAAGGGAAGTGAGGTGCCAGGATGGAGGCAGGAAGGTGCTAAAGTAGTGGAAGGGGGCAATGCCTGGCATGGACTCATCCAGTAGCTGTTAGCCAGTGCCATAGCGGGGGGGGGGG